TAATTTACTATCTAAAGCTCAACAAAACACACCATGAATCCCAATTTTGATTCGATTAGAAATGAAGGTTTTATATTTATAACAGCAGGACCGTTGAGTTGAGAAAAAGTAAATAATAGTACTTATAGCTATTCTCTTGATTAGTATCAAATATCGAGCATACAAGAACTCTGAAACATGCAAAAAAGGATGTATATATCTCAAAATCAATAGTCATCACCCCTGGAAACCACCTCTTTGCAAGTTGGACGAAGTAAAATGGTATGCTCAAATTGAGATACATAGCTTCCCTTAACATCACACAGAGGAGGATATGGCTACAAGGAAAACAAACAAACAAAATCAATTTTTATTGTTTACTCAAATAAATCACTCTCAATGAGAAGCAAAAGGCAACAATCAGTAACTTCTGCAAGACTAACGAGACATTTCTGCCAGCCAATCGTAAAATATATCCATCACAACAATAAGTCTCATTAGTCAAGGTACAACCTTTTAAAGTTTGGCAAGATAGAGCTATTTAATGTCAAATTCGGAGTACAAGGTACCGTAAAAAGAGACTTGTTTGTCAAGGTACAACTTTCAGATTTTGGGGAGGAAATCTTTAAAGATGCAAATTGTACTTGCATGCAAAACATGATTGGTTTAACTGAATTATCAGATTGAACTTGTTACTAACATCATTTTCCGGACAACATCAAAATTTGAAAGAATGGAGTAATAATGGGAGGGATGGAGTAATAATTATTTCTTTGTTACATCACCTTCATAGCAACTACAATCACTGTTAAAAATAATTAGATTAAAAATGTGTTTGAAGAAGGTAGGGAAATGAGCAGAGTATATATATATATATATATATATACCTGGACAATACCAGCATCACACAAATTCTTGAGCGCCATGAGATACTTAGTTTCACCAAGGCGGTCAAGATAGCGTCTACAGAAAGCCAGGGTGGAGAAGTTCTTATTTATGGTTGCTAGTAATTGCTTTGCTCTTGGCAGCCGCAATGGGACGTGGCCAATATCAAAATTCTTCATATAATGACTGCACTCAAGATCTTCTCTCACATATCCCTTCCCTGTGCATGAAGATCATATAGTGGTAAGCCAACTTTTCTTCATTCATTTCATCGGCTAACTATCCATCATATGTCAATTACTACCCAGTAACCACCAAAGAAAGTAGGGAGAATTTGACTTTGCACCCATGTTTTGAGTGATATTTGGCCTTGCACCCCATTTTTAAAATTATTAATGTATGCATCCCATGAGCCAAAAAATTGTGAAGGAGTGGGGTGCAAAGTCAAATGATTTTACAGTGAATTAGGATACATTAATGATTTTGAAAGTAGGGTGCAAAGTCAAATGTCACCCATAACATGGGGTGCAAAGTGAAACCTCCCAAGAAACTAAATGATGTTACCTGTAGACGCAAATGTTTCAATTGCATAAAATTCACCCTCTTCCATCTTAGTTTGCTCTCCTCCTTTCACAATCGGGACAGATTTACCAGCATGGATTTGATATTGCCCAATGCTGTGCCCATTCAAATTCCGGACACTTTTAACTGCACACAATAGATTTAAAAAGAAAAAGTATGACTACATAAGCTTGCATTACAATTACATCAATCCATCCTTTCACCAATACTAGAGTAACCATCATGGAAAGTCTTGAGCATCTTACATTAATTATCAACTAGATTTGAGTATAGGTATTTCAGATCCACCTTTTAGAGTGATCTAGACACAATTTAATATAAAAAGAGAGCTTGTTCCAGTTACGATTCTCATTTTGGGTGAGTTTGGAACTCTGTCCACACCCATTGAGTTGTCCAAGTCTGATTGGGTTGAGGGGTGAGTATCCTACATAAGTCGTCCACCAGGTTAGATATTAGTATTTAAGTGTTGTGAGATATTATTCTGGAGAAACCTTTTGAGTGAGTTAGACCCTATATGGAAAAGAACTTCTCTTCTCCCCATGGTGGTTCCCATTTGGGATCAGTTTTACCCATTTATGTGCACCACTGGAATTGTCCAACCCTACTTGGGTTGGGGGTGTTGACTATCGTAGATCGAAGTGTAATAAGTTTAAGTCTAGTACTAGTATATAAGTGACATGAAGTATCAATTAAACGAAATGAAAGTAATGATATGATCATAACTTACAAGGCTCTTCCATTAAATAAAATTCAAATATGCAACCACAACTTTGAACTCAAAAACATCACTTGTAGTCAAAGATATGGTCATACCTTGGAAGACTTTTCCATTAATTTCAACTTCATATGACTCCATGACTTCCTGAATGGCAGCACCAACATCACATAGGCGAACATCCACGCCTGCTTCCTGCAAAGATGGCCATTCTATTAGTGAAAATGCCAAAACTATGTTTGGATATCTTTATGTGACTTAATTAGAAAATTAAACAGTACAGGCTTCATATAAAGCAAACCACACCTTGATCCCTGTGTTGGTGGCTTCCCGTGAGGCTTCAAGCAGTGGATCAAACATGGGATTGAAAGCCACAGTAAATGCACAGTCTACTATGCGACCTGCAATAGTACCAGAACTTTTAAGAAGTTAAAGATATCAAAAAATAAAATTAAGAACACTTTCAAGGTATTGCACATAAAACATTACCATCAATGTGTGTTCCAAAATCCAATTTCATGACATCATCATATTGAAGCACAGTTTGGTCTCCAGAATTTGGAGTCCAATGGGCTGCAACCCTGCAAAATATGGGTTGCGAATAACTTGCGATGAAAGATAAAATGAAAACAGGTTTGAAAAAACTAGTTAAGACTGATCATTTAGCTGTTCTTAACATTTAAGTTGAAAAGTCTCTCGTTAATCAATGCAATGACAAAAAAATCAACTAAATGATGAATTTACCAATTCAGTGAACACCCAGTGGGGAACGCAATGCCAGCTTGGAGTCCATTTTCTGATATTAGTTTACGAACTGTATTCTCCAAGGTTTCGCATATGTCAATCATCAGCATCCCAGGCTTCAGAATTTGTTTAATATGTTTCCGGACCTAACAAAACAGGTTTTGAATTTAGTGTGCAACTTGTTTTAACTATACATGGACACAGTTCTTAATGTGCGGCTTGTTTTAACTATGCATAAGCGATCATATTCTGAAGACATTGAATCCCTAGAAAAGAGTGAATTTAAACCTGACGATGAACTTCTGCTGCTTGTCGAAGTGAATTATAAATTGGTCTTCCCTGGCGTTCTAATTCCCTTTTTTCTTCAGACATAGTACGCCACAGGTTACTGCACAAATTGGTTATTTAAAGGCCAACTAAAAATTTCAAATGCTAATACCTCTTGTTCTCCTAGGATCTGAGGTGCATTACTACATAGTTCATTGTATACCATAAAGGAATATTGCCATATAGTATCACTGCATTTGAAGTCAAAACACTTATCCACCACTTACCTCAAATGACAAATTATAATTAGAATGATCCTGAAGTTATGAAAATTATTAGACTAATTGATATTCATAGTCTATTTCTTTCAATGTAAAAAAACATGTACACCCTTTACCCCAAGGTAGTCAAACGCGAGCGCCTGGGCGCTTAACACATCAGCCCTATTGACTGAACAAAGGCCAGGCGCAGCTTTCTGTGTAAGGCGCAGGTTTTGCGCAGAAGCGCTCAAGCACTAAATAGCACTCGCTATTCTCGCCTCAGGTGGGAACACGCGTTTAAGCGTAATATTTTAGTTTCAGACTATTTTAATTAAGAAGCCCATATTTTTAATATGATAAAGCCCAAGTAAATATCTAAATAAAAGGTCAAAATGATGTAAATTTGTGTTAATCAACCCAAGTCAAATTTGTTTTTTGTTTTTCAGCATCTACTTCTTATAAACTCTATACAAGTCAAACATATATATCTGTAAACTATCAATATAGTGGTTTATTACGTGTGACTCTCTTCATTGTTCCATTTTCTGATCATTTAATTAGAAAATATTTTCCATTTTTCTAATTATTGTTCCATATATCAGCATTTTCGTATTTTAGTATTTTTATTCATGTACACTTCATATAATCTAATCATTGAATAGTTTCATGAAGTATACTGTATAAATAATATCTGCCTTGTACATTTACAGGACATGAAAAGTCGACCTTCAGTCATAGCTCCTGAAGATGCCAAATCAGCAAAAACAGACCCGGCTTGAAAACAAAATTACTTGGCTCATGAAAATGATGCAAAGGCATGACTTTATTTTGGTGAATCATGACTTTATTTTTTAGAAACATGACATTTTAATGTAGTTGGTCCAATATGATGTTATATACATCATGTTTGATACTTGCATAATAGTATATCTGATATTTTCTAAGAAATGCGCCTTACATGAGTCAGGACTCAGGCGAGCACTTTTTTGCGCCTTGCGCCTCAAGCGATGGGAGTACGCCGTCGCCTTGAGTGCGCCTCACGACTTTGACTACCTTGCTTTACCCCCAAAATACATAACATGGTTTGAGCAATCATGATGTTAAGAAAAAGATTAGACTAATTGATAGTCATAGCCTACTTCATTCAAAGTCAAAGAAACTTAGTCACTCTTTAATCTTTATAAATATATCCTTCTATTTTTAAAATTCTGTGTGTTTCTCCCACATCTCCTGTCCTATATTTTCTTAAAATCCTATGTCTCGCGTTTTCCAATTCCATGCTACTTAACCTGACAAACCATTGAGGAGGACTGGCATGAAAATTTCTCATATACTGATACACACACACACACACACATATAGACCATCATAAATATTTTTAAATTATATTGAAACAACAAATGCAAGGAATTGAAATAAGTAATTATATTTGATTTAGTATTTCATAATAAGTAGTATATGATCTCCACCCAAGGTGTGATGTGGCGGTGGGGGATCCAGGGCCCCACACAAACCTGCTATGTTGCCACCTACGAGAGTGTTTATTATAAAAAAGGCCAACATGACATAAAGAGTAAATAGACCTCTAAATGAATAAATACTGCATTAGTTGCATGTACATACTCATCTTTGTATTGTTGAATTTCACCCTCTGGAAACTCGCCAGAAGGAAAAAGTTCTACTACCGGAACAGTCGGTGGATCTGTTTGTTGTGGTTTTTCCTTTTTCTTCCTATATCGAAGACCAAATGAATAAAACGAAACTTATATGAGTTACTTGAAAGAAAAGAGGTTGGCCAAAAAATCAGCTTGAAAGAAATGGTAAGGAGCAGAGGGACATCACTTATTTTTGTTCTTCTTCTTCTTCTTTGCAGCTTCTATTGATTTGCAATTCCACAGTTGTGTGCATGAGAACCAACCAACCACATAAATAAGATAATACAAAGAACACCATGACAGCAGATATGAATACTTAAATGCCAAATATGTAATCCAATTGATAAAACAGTGATATACGTGTTAACCTTATTTTGCATTAGTAATTCAGCAAAACGAAATATCACTAGGTCTGAATTAAGTAAATGACAGTGGGGATTTTGTAATGAGGTGCTTGATCTTTATCTATGCATGTGCCTTGTCTTCAAATACATTCCTACCAGGGTGCAGTAAATATGGAGAAACCAAATATAGAATGAAATACAAGAAATAATCCCCCTGGTCCCTGGATATTACTAAACCACGGCTGCTTTCCCGAGTATGACCCCCATTTTTTGAAATACAAGAAATAATCACCCTGGATATTACTAAAACAATGTCTCTTTGCTGCTACCTATGACCTCATGCTCACTCCCACTCAACCCACTCTGAAAATGCTGATGGGACTGACACCACTGCGATTTCATCAACAACAACACCACTGAACTTCAAGGGATGCCATCACAGCCACATTTCTACCTAAGACACTCCCTACGCAATGCTACATGCCATCCTCTCTGGGCTTGACCCCTCCCCCGACTGACTGACTTTACCATCCTGCCTTTTTCCTGGATACATGGATGGTAACGGTCTAATTAAGACTAATGAGGGAGGACGCGGGTGATATTGTAATATTGACAGAGGCAGTAGGTGTTTTATATAGTGAGCGACTGAGCGCGGGTGATGGACATTGATGCTGGCAGTCTAATGACGGTAAAAGGGGTGAGAGCTATTGAAATAGGCATCAATGGGAAATGAGTCGGAGGAGTTGGATACAGAGCGGTGGTGATGGAAATTGATTGCAGCGTGATGAGAAGTGACGTGGAGGTACTGGTCAGGGTGTGGGGTAGTGCCATAGTGGGCAACGAATGGAGTTGCAGTTGTTGTTTTTCAGTTTTAGGGTAGTTAGCAGTCACGTCCAAAAAAAAAGGTTGAATCCCCAACCCCAAGGGCCCCCCACCCCGACCCGACAGGATGGTGGGGGAGTAAATCACGGTGACTCAGTCGGCAAAGCGGCAGTAGGCCTTTACCCGTGCGCACCAGAGGGCCAGCCTTATTTCAGGTTCTGAAAACCCCCTTTTGGCCGCTGCGGGATTCGAACCTTGGTCTACGTCCAATTTTTCCCACCACTCGACCAACTGAGCTACCCGTGCGGGTAGGGTAGTTAGCAGTCACATTTACATATACCGACTACATCTTGGTCTCATAGTCTGGTAAATTCTTAAAATTAACACTACATTCATAGATATTGCCTAATCACATTTTTTAATTTCTTTAATCTTTAGGCACAAAAAGAACTTACAAATTCATGAATAATTGAATAATGATCACTTACTCTGTTATCGTTTGTGCCAATGAAAATCTAAAATACTGGTTTTGCACTTTTGCCCAAGTCTTGTCTTAATGAGAACCCGTGATTGTCATCGCTCTCAAGTCAAATCGCTCAAATGTCTATTCACACTACACTTATAGGGTGGTTGCAAGGAATTACAATTACTCTCTCCTTACTCTGAGAGAAGACAAACACATTGTTGGATGGAGATTTAACTCTGCTTTGAAATTTTTGTGTTAATGAATTCCGAATCCCAAACCTCCCCCTCAGGAACTTTGTTTCACTTAATCCCTTGCAGCTTGGAAGACAATACATCTTTCTCTATTTCTGTTTTGAACACTCTACATATGTAGGAGCATTTTGATTTTACTTACTAGGTATTCCCTGATTAATTCTAAAGAAACCAAATAATGAAATATTTGATCATAATGCCTCTATTTCAGCTGACCAAACTGCATACTATCAATTCATAGTATGTTCTACTCTATGGGGGTTCAACCGTTCAAATTGTATTCCCAATATATTCTGTCCCACCTCATGCATGTGTTTATATTGGTATAATGTTTTTGTGAGCTGAGAATTGTTGGCTCGGTAAAATTTGCTCAGAAAATTTAGACAAGATACAATCAAGAGACGATAAACTAAGTTGTGGAGTAGCAACTGGCTACCACCACCAGAGTTGTGGCTGGGTAAAATAAGAAGAGAATATTCATTTGAGTTATGATGGAGAGAAAAAAACTTAGTTGAGTCACAGATTTCTAATTGGGTACTCTGGGTGTTGAGAGCTGTGGCAGGCCGCAGGTGGGGTGCCATTGGTGCAACAAATCTAACCACTATATAAGGGGCAACAAAATTTAGTATGCTAGGCAAAAAAAATTGAAAAGAACGGAGACTTGTGTTATTTTCTACAATAACGTAATATTTTGAAATGTTTTTATTATTGATCCCCAATTGGTTTTCTTAATATTATTTGTCTGTTTGACTCTCTCCCACTCCTTGTTCTAAACAAAAAAATATTTAAATCTTAATCTCCCACCCCACTTAATAGAAACCCTATGAATGGCCCTGCGGATATTATGGACAAATCTTATTCGACCATCCATGCACTTTCTAGTAATAGAAATGGTTATTGGATGTAAAAATCAATTGAAACATGCAAGAAATAATTCTTGTAAGAGTATATTATCTATTACTCCCTCTGTCTGGTTAAGACTGTCCCATCTTTCCTTTTTGGTCTGTCCCACTAAAATTGTCCCATACCAAATTTAGTAAAGTTGTGTGGTTCTAAACCATTCTTACTTTATACTTACTTTATCAATTTAATATCAACCACATAAACCCACATTTCTTAATAAACGCACCACCTCCTCATGTCCCAAACTCCCAATGTTAGTGGGATGGAGGTAGTACATGCATGTATAAGATAACTTCCAAGTGGAGGTTGCATTTTAAAGGCAGCACTTGTTTTGGAGTGATTCACTTGAGGGATACATGTCTATACGATTTTGTGAATGGGTTTTGAAAAGTAGCCAACAATTGGATATACACTTCCTAGCATCTCAAAAGTTCTTATCTGTTAGCCTTGTTGCTTAGTGGGAATAAATAATTTTTATTTAAAGTAAATCAGATTCAAATACTTGTATCAATTTCCAATCACTGTTTGTAATAAGAGGGTAAGACTTCTCTATAGTTTATAACAATGGGCAATCAGCCAATCAGATTATGAGATGTGGATATTAGATTACAAAGTGTGGCAATTAGAATTGTGTGGCTTATGAGTTAAACCAAATGTTTATATTCACGTTAATTAACCAAATGGTAACATAACTGACAATTAAAAATTTAAAACTATGAAATTGTATATATCGTGCATAAAATTGAACAGGATTAAAGGAGAGGGGTGGGGTGAGAATCAAACTATTTGTCTATTTTGATAGTATAGTATTAAAAAATAACAAAAAATTTAAGCATTTCCAGAACATGAATGGAATACCTGTTGGCTCCTCCAGGGTCAAAACATCAACTTTCTCCACGATATCGCTCTGAGCTATAGATGAAGGTTTGTCTGTTATTCCATTATTACTATTGGCTCTCTCTGATATCCCATCTTCAGAAAGAACAACTCCAACAGCAGAGTCCACTTTTTCCATTACAGATGACTAGTTTTCAAATGAAATGGTTGACCGCAGTGACTTATCTATAACTTATGTTGTGGGAGGAAGAAGATTAGACACAAGTAAATCATAGGTTTTTATAGAACATAAATAATACCATTAATTTTATTGAAAAATCCAATTGGATATAACTATAAATACTTTTAAAAACTAATGTAAGACAAGTTAAGGGAAACTACTCCTCTAATCTCATATTGAGACACTATTAATCAATACTTTTCTTTTAGTGGAATGAAGTTCAAGATTTTCTAGTTTAGTTTCAATACAAGGACGTATGGTAAAACCTTCAAGAAAAAATTGGTTAGATGAGTCCTCAAATATAGATTTCTTTTACACAGAAAATAATTTTCCATAACTGAGCAAGAAAATATATTTTTTTGTCAGTTAATTAACTAAAAATACAGGGAAACTACATTTACCCCAAATCCACTTGCTAAAAAACCAATATACACATTCAATATAAGCAACCCAGATTTACAAACCCAGCATAGGATAAGTGCTAACTGCTAAGTATACTATTAATTCACAAACGTTTAATTTGAATTTAGGTATTACTATTTGAAGTTTAACAAATTAAAATCCACCAATTCAACTTGACTAATAAAAATTCACAAATTCTGGAAGCGATGAGTAATAACTAATAACTAATATGACTGCTATGAGGCCCCGGTACTATGACTGCTATTAATAAAAATTACAAAATAGGAAATTTGTATTTTGAAGATTACTATTTATATACCTTGGTAACCTTGCAATTTTTGGACTAGACCTGTAAAAACAAATTGGCGGGCTATTCGCAGTTGAAAACCCTGAGTTGTGGCTGAGCTGCTTGGTCTCTTAGTGTGGTTCTGCGAAGATGAAAGACCAACTTTGGAGCGGTACCGCCTGGACGTGCGGCCGGGAACTCAGAGTCGACGACGACCGGCGGTCCGAGAGGAAACGTGAGAGAGATCAGTGAATAGGAAAAAAACCAAGTGATTGAGGGTTGGTCGTCTCGGAAGTCCAGATCACGAAATGCTACTTTTACTAACAAACAATTTGTAGTTCAACAATTTAATTAATACCATTTCTTTTAATTGCAACATTGGATTTTTTTGTACTATTTGCATATTCTACTTTCAGTGTATTTTATTTATTAATGGACTAGCTTTCAAGTCTGTGCGATGCACGGACAATATGTAATTTAGCTAATTTGAAATTTAATTTCTATCGGATCACATATAATATGATTTAAAAGAAAAATAAACTTAGTTTAATATAGAGTATGTTTGATAATACTAAAGTAAATAGAATTAACTTATTTTGCTGAAATTGATTGAATTCTGGTTAAATAGGTGGAATCTTCTTAATCATGAAAAATATATGTGAAATATATTCCATTTGTGAAACAAAGAAAAAAATATATGAAAAAAAGTTAAATTGGTCTTTTACATAAACATCTCAAGTAAACATAATTGTTATGAACCTAATAAGAAAAAAAATCTATATTTCTTAATTGTTAGATCTTACAGTTTACTCATTAATAAGAACGTTTTTAATTGAATTAAAATTTCGGATTTGATTTGGTATGGATTAATATGGTCTATTAGACGTCTGTTTTTTATGTGACTTATTGTTATAATTATTAAAGTTTGATCTGATCTGATTTAATCTGAAATCAATACAACTAAAAACATCCTATTAAAATAAAAGTATGAATTCGTAAACATATAAAGATTTTCTAATTTGGATTAGGAATCTATTTCAAAAGTGAAAGCATATTTGAATTTTAGGTATAAAATAAAGATACAATCAAAAAAAATTACTTATTTGACTAAGCTAGACATATTTACTTGTGAAAATATATACTAGTATACTTTATGTTGGTTATAAATTTTAATTTCATTTTTAATTATTTACTTATTAGAAATTACTCCAAATAGGACTAAGGCTATGTTTGGCGCAACGAACTGGAACTGGAGGCTAAAGTCTGAATTAAGGACTATTGTCTGAACCATGCACTATTGTCTGAAGCTGAACTTTGAAGTGCTGAAACTGAATCGCTAGCTGAATGGAGTAGACCTGTTTCGCAAAAAGAGCTGAAAAGATGTTGGATAATATGAAATTACATTAAAGGTCATATGATTTATTAATAGAATAAAATATTTACTACAATGCTTTTATATTTTTATCCTTGGGTGTGTATATATAATATTTGTGAAGTTATACATGTATATATAATAATTGAATTGACTATTCGTTTTCTTCAATTCACTATAATATATGTTTAATACTACCTCCGTTCTTAAATAAATGCAACACTTTGACTTTTACACTATTCACATGTTCTACTTTGACTACGTTTTATTTATTAATGTAATAATATTATTTTATGAAAAAATTATTGTTAAACTTGTCTCATTGTAAATTTTCATAATCTAATTTTTTAAATTTTTTACTAATACAAAATCATTTATATTAATGGTCAAAGTTGTGTCTCGGCAAGTGTGAAATGTTAACCGTTGCATTTATTTAAGAACGGAGGAAGTATAATATACTACGTATGTTTAATTATATATACCTTTGTTTACAAACACTTAAGTGCAATTCACTTTACTTCGCAGCCATATCTTCATGTTGATGACGATTATTTTTTTATAGCCAAGCATCTAACTGACAATTATTTTTTTATTTTTTTGCACATGCACAACAGGTCGAAGAAAAAGCAGAGATAGAGATAGCAGACAATGGGAATTGATAACTTCGAGATTGGGAGAAAATAGGAGTTTTGTGAGCAAATGATAGGTCCGAAGTAAAAAAACACCTTTGAAGCTCTGTTGTTGGGATCGATTGAGAAGAAATCCTTCTGTGGAGATTGACGGAAGATGAAGGAGGGATATGATGGAAATCAGAAGCCCGAAAACCAAGGACGGAATATAAACACTGCATGGCTTAACGTTTAAGTTCAGCTCAATTATTTCAATTCCAGCCTCCTTAAGTCTTTCAAATATAAATTGACTGAACTTAATAAATTTTAGCTCTTTTTTAGCTGAAGTGGCGTTCCAAACACAACCTAAAACTATGGCAAAAACTCAAAATAGGACTTATTATGTTTTTCTTTTCAAAGTAGGACCATATTATTCCTATTGGAAACATACCTATTTTTTCATTCCATTTTTACCCTTCATTTAAATATGAGTTAATTAAATGTTTAATTCATAATAAATTCGAAAAAAACTCAAAAATTCGTAGAAAAATAATTAAAAAATTTATAAAATATTTATAAATAAAAAAAAATAATTTTTTTTTGAACTAATAAAAAATAGTAAAACTCCATAAAAAATTAAAACACATATGGATGCCTTTCCCATCGCATGTACTACCTCCCTGCACCAACATCTCCGTCCGGTGAAAAATGTCATTTTTCCTAAAAACTACCATTTTTCTGAAAATGTCAAAAACATGGCATATTTCTCTTTGAGAATGCCAACATTTTCATTGTTTTCTGCCATAAATATGGCATTCGTAATGAACTTGGCATTTTTTTCCTGGTGACTGGAGGTGGTGGTGCAGAGGCAGCACAGGCGGCGGTGAATTTTATTTTATTTTTTTGAGTTTTTTATTTTTTTAATTTTTTTTATTTTTTGAAAATAAATAAATAAATAAATTATTATTATCGAAATATTTTAATTAATTTTTTAGTATTTTTTACGAATTTTTATTATTTTTTATTATTTTATTATGAAATAAAACATTTCAATAGCTATAAGGGTATATTTATCCAAAACACACATAATTAGTCCTGTGAAAACATAGTATATTTTTTGGTCCTATTTGTGCAAAGTGAGAGACTTTTAGTCCTATTTTGATAATTAACCCTTTACTTATTTGAAGCTTACTAATTTATTAATAGGTGTCAAATTAATAAGTAAACTAATTTGCATATTTGTTTCTATTTAATTCGGTGTAGTAAACTAATACGGAGTATAAATTAGTTTCCATATCAATAAACGTTATTAGAATTTCACTTTGATAACCAAAAATTATTTTACATATTTGAAGCTTACCAAATTAATTAAGGTGGATTGATAAGGATTTTTGTTTGCATATCAATATAGGTTGTAGATTTACACATTTGGTATGGGACAATTTTAGTGGGACAGACCAAAAAGGAAAGATGGGACAGTCTTAACCAAGTGACCAAGGTTCGAAACCCGCAGCGGCCGTGTGGAGGTCACAGAACCTGAAATAAGGCTGGGCCTCTGGTGCGCACGGGAAAAAGGCCTACCATCATTGGGCCGACTGGGTCACCGTGATTAACATCCTCCCAAAAATCCTGTCGGGTAGGGGTATGGGGAGCTCCTAGGGTGGGAGATTCCACCTTTTGGACCAAAAATAGAATCTAATAAAAACAAAAGGTATAAAAATAAGTAAATAATTGTTATATATAATGACATGGCAGGATTATGTGGCGCTTTGTATGCTCTTAAAAAGTTCCTCTTATATATATATATACATACATACACACACACACACACACACACACATATATATATATATATATATATATATATATATATATTGATTATCAATTAAAATTTTAAAATATATTTTTAAATTCCTCTCATTTTAAATTTTCAAAATCTAAATTTTTTAAATTTCTAACCAATAAGAGATGAAAGATAATAATGGTCAAACTTGTGCGTTGGCAAGCGTGAAAAGTAGATTGTTACAATTAAAAATGAACAGAGAAAGTATATAATATGGATGTGAGTACAAATATATTCGTTCTATTTTTCGAAACAAATATACCAGTGAAGTATATATTGAAGTACATATATATTCACGATCTTGTAAAAACAGCAAAAATATCCCTCATGTTCTTATAAATGAGCAAATTTACCATTATTGACTTTAAAAAATGCGCACCAAACACCCGTGATATGGAAATTCGGCGCATTAGCTCCTTGTGATTTAAAAAATGCGTTAAACTCTTTGTGTTTTAATTAATTATGCGCAAAATCTCTTATATGAACAAATTCAATTGTCAAGTAAAAGAAAAGTGATTAACATTTTTGTATGATTTAGAGATTTTGACTTATTTACTTGCATATTCAATCAAAATATTAGGAAAAACGATTTCATAATCCGTTAAATTTATTAAACTTATTTCCAAATCATTAAAATTATTAAAACACAAATTTCATATCTGGCCTCATATGTCATCCGTGTATTTGAGACTTTGAGTGGAGAACAACATCAAAGCTTTGCATTACATTAGATGTTTGGATACACGAATGAAATTAATTGAATGCATTCTTTTTATAACCAAGTTATTCGTTAAAATTAAGTGAAATAATTATCTCTATTTACGAAATTATCTTATAATTTTGAAATTGATATATCTTTGTCTGCCCAACCACCCTCAATTTCCCCGTTCTAAATTTCTAATCTCTACATTTCTAATCTCTTTGCTACTATTTTGTTATGATATATTTATGTAGATTTTAAATGAGGAATTGCTGAGTAGATTTAACGCAAATGTATTAGAAAGTATGAACATGTTTTGTGACTGAAACAAATATTGGAATTTTAAAAGGCAAATCGATATTGGAATTCAGATCACCTTTTTGAAAAAAATGATATTGCAGTAACTAGTCTTTTTGGAAGAATCTTTCATCTTTCATATTAGCTTTTTCTATGTCGATCATAAGAAGCTATCGGGATTAGGACATCTTCTTGTAACACTTTCCGCCTAAACTTTTCCTCTCACTATTTTGTTATTGGGTACTTCATATTTTACATAGTAGATCTTATTCTTAAAAATAAATATGAAAGTGGCTATTCAATTCTCTAGAAGCTTGAGATCTCCGTTCCAGAGATCAGCCTAGCACATCTCTGAGGAAAAGCGGACGGCTCCTTAGGATTTTCTAGGGTTGGTTTTTCCAGTGAAAGCTGTCTTGCATCCGGATTTTATTTTCGAACTAGTGCTAGAGTTTTGAGGTGGCAAATT